GTTCTCTGTGAAAGGATCATTCAATTCCCTTTGGGGTCATGACCCACATGTTGAGAATTCCTGGAGCAGGTAACTACACTTGCTGCCAAGGCAGATGAAGCTCTAACATTGAAGACTATTTTAGTTATAAATAAATAATCCATATGCACAATTTAGTTACAAAAATGCATGGGTTACATTTTTAATTTCATATGTGCTTAAATGTAATATTTGAGTCACCTTCTGTTGGAACAATTGTGCCATGTCTATAAAAACATAAAATACATTAGACATCATGTTATTATCACAGAACACTGAATTCTATTTCAATAATGCTTCAGTTTTTGTTGTGTATATTTTATCAAATCACATTTCAATATCTACTAAAATAATATAATACTCATCATGTCCATTATATAAAAGGCATTGTTCCCATTTCACAATGTGATTTTTATGGCGATCACTGTCACCCTTCACTGCTCATAAAAATGTGACTGGGAAGCAGGTTTTGAGAGAAGAGAGCCTGCAGCCAGCACCAGCATGTAGCCTTGCCAGCAAGTCACAGAACTGGTTCTGACTTCTTCAGGGATGCCTTCTTTTGGACACTACAACAGGAAGAGATGGGCCTGTCTCAGTTCTATGTGTTTGTTCATGATCTGCTATTGGTCTATTTTGCATCACTTTCTGTGCAGCAACCAGAGTGATCTTTGCAGCAGCCTAATAAACAAAGCCTCTTTTGATAACACCCTCCAGGATTCTATACTTGTTAAGACAAAGGGAGAGAGCCAGGCAGTGGTGGTGCAGGTCTTTAGTCCCAGCACTTGGAAGGCAGAGACAGGGGATTTCTGAATTTGAGGCCAGCCTGGTCTACGGAGTTAGTTCCAGAACAGTCAGTGAAAGAAGAAAAACCCTTTACATACACACAGCATTAAACTTAACTGGGCCTGTGTTTCTATCCCCAGCTCAATTTCTCACTATGTTTTCATTTGTCAGTTTATACAAATTATTCCAAAATACAAAATTCTATTAAGGGCCACTTTATACTGAATAATAGTCTCTCTAAGATTACAATATAAATATATATTATAAATTTATATCTTATACTATAGATATAAATAATATATGCATAGTTTATTTACATTGTAGATACAAATGACATTTACATGGACACACATACAATATTCTTACATTATTACACCACTGGGTATACTTATAAAAGATTTTAGTCCATTTAAATCTTTGTGAATAATGAATTTGAGGTAGTCACAATGATACTTTTGATGACACAGATAAATTTAGTGATCAAAGATGAAGATGAAGAAAAGCCTTTATAGGATGCTGCAATTGGGTTATAAAATTAATTGGATAGCTTAAATTTTACGGGTGTTTGTCATATAACCAGGCAAAGACGTGCAAAACACATTGCTAAGAGTTGCTGTCTTTGAAGGAAAGAATGAGTAAACAGGGTATAGGAAAGGTTTATTTTGTAATTTTATCTTTTGTATCTGTGTGTGGTAGAATGAATTCTTTTCTTAATTATGCACTCCTGGCTATTATTTATTTTTGTGCTGTGTGATTAGCAGCCTTCCATGGTAGATGAGATCAGCTACCCATTCCATGGGATTAGGCTTGGTCATATGACCTGAATTAGCCAAAGGATTAGTTCATGTGAAGGAGACAGAGGTTTAAACAAGCTACTGCAGTTTGTGCCCTTTCTTCTTCTGGGATCTCTCATACGAAAAATAATCCAGATAGTTGTTCCTTCCAGGAAAAAGATGTGTGGAACGGGCTTAAACATACCCTGTGTATTTTAGCCAAAACCCAAGTGGTTTCATCCAGAAGCAGACAAACTACAGACTTGTAAACATGAAAAAGAACTCTGTAGCTAGAAGGCACTGAGTTATTAATGATAGTTTGTTCCATTGTATTGCTTTAATAAGAATTCCCCTAATTAACTTTTCTTTGGTCAGATTTCTGTGTTAAGGATGTCCTACTGTGTTCCTATAAACCATGTTAACTGATGTTCCTTGCCTCTGTTGGAGTCAGGGGTGGAGGGACCTCCTGGTGAGGAAAATAGGGTCTCTGGTTTGAGTGAAGACTTAACATTCCAGTTGGGCTGGTTCAACCACTTTGGCAAGGGAGGTGTGCTTACCTTAAGCCATGTTAAAGAAACTGGCAGAATAATTAGTCCTTCAGCAAGACACTGGGCGTTTCCTTCCCAGAATCCCCACCCCTAGAGTAGAAACTTCAGGGCTCAAGTCATATAGTGTCATATAGGTCTGCCAGTTTGCTTTTCTGAACTATTCAGAAAAGCATACCTTTATCTTTTCTTCTCTCTGTTTTTAAAGCATGCTTTCCTTGCACTTTGGGTTCCCTCTCCTCCATGTCCAACATTTTGAGCTTTTTTACTCTTTCTCTAAAGCTTCCCCCTTTCCCTCCTGTTGTACAGCTGTGATGGTCTGACCTCCATGCTGCCTTGAGTACCATAGTTTTTCCCTTCTCTCCTCCATTTTCCTCTGGGAAGGCGTTGAGATTTTACCTCTGGCCCGCCCCACAGTATTTCTTCTAAACTCTAATAAAATTGTCCCGATATTTCCATTTGAGTCTATTCTTAAATTCTTTTATTAATGAGACTAAAGAATGCACAAAGGGAACCCTGATTTTCCCTTGTATGAGTTTGTCACTGTCAATGGCTATTAGATAGTTGAATCATATGATTTTAAAGCATCCTCAAACACATGTGGACTGTTATGCTTACTACAGCAATTCAATTATTTCATTAATGTGGGGTAATTTGATGAAATTAGCATATTGCATGTGTGAAAACTACATTGTATTCTTTCAAAAGCCCATAAAAGTCCCTAAAGTTGTCATCTAGTTAATTATTTTCAAAAATTAAAAAATGTAAAATTGTTGAAGGATATATACTTAAACTTAATTCTCAAATGTTTGAAATTGTCATCACATTTTATAAACGGTGCAATTAGCCATGATGAGAAATTATGGGTATTTATTGGAGTAGTTAGATGGCAGGTATGGAGCTTCGGAGATGGGTGGTATTACATGCAAAAACTAATGTTCTTCCTTACCCATTTTAAGTTAAACCATGCATAGTCTTTCTATCATTAACAGTTTTTCTTTAATTACATCTTCATAGAAGTTAAAGGACTCTTCTAAGTTCACACCATCCAAGAACAGAAGAGCTGATGATAAAGCTTCATGTTACTCTTCCATCTCTACTAAATTCTAGGATCAAAGTACAGCACCTTCTAGAGATGGAAAATAGTTATTTTATTTATTTATCTATCAATTTATTTACACTTATTTTTGAGTATATGTGAGAGAATTGTGTGGTGCATATGTGCATTGCACACGTGTGTGTGTGTGTGTGTGTGTGTGTGTGTGTGTGTGTCTGTGAGAAGGTACTAAGGTCAGAGGAGTGTCAGGTGTCCTACTCTATCACACTCTATCGTACACCCTTGAAACAGGGTTTCTCAATGAACCTGGAGCTAGGTTGGAGACCAGCAAGCTACAGTCATCCTCCTGTCTGCTCCTCCACATAATTCTGGGGTTTCAGGCATATACAAACATTATTTTAAAAATTTGAACTCAAGTCTACATGCTTGCACATCAAATGCTGTTACCTATAGAAACATCATCAACTTAGCCCCAAATAGAGGGTGGATCCTTCCTTCCTTCTTTCCTTCCTTCCTTCCTTCCTTCCTCTTTACACTTCTTTTTTTAGTTCTAAATTAGGCTTTCTGTTATCAGAAAGCCTTATTAATTTACCTTTGTTTCAGTCATTGCCCTATGGTAGATAATTTTAGTGATTAATAACTCACTTTTAGTTCATTTTTCCAAATTTTTGTCTTTGCTCACTTGCCAGTTTGTAGCAGCATAACAAGCTTCTGGAAAACATAAATTCAACAGTTTTTCATACTGTTGTTTTCTTATTGGCTTATTGATGTGAGCTAAGATTTGTTTTGTGTCTTGTTTATAGTGTCTTCGGGTCAAATTGTGATGTTGGGTAAGGCAAAGTCACAGCTGCTTAATGTGTGTCCCAATGGCTGCCTTGACCAAGCCTCTCTCTTTAGGCAACATTCCCATGCTTACACTGAATTCCTTGAAAAGGAGGAGAGCATATATATGAGGTTCAAATGCAGGGCTTTGTGCATGCTAGGTTAACCTTCTACTACCCAAGCTACACCCTCAGCTTTTTAATCAATTTTTTAAAAAAAATTTAAAAACAATTTTTTCCCATTTTACATACCAATCCCAGTTGCCACTCCCTCCCTCCCCTCCTTATACCTCCTCCTGCTCCTCATCCCATCCCCTCATCCATACTCCTCAGAGAGGATAAGGATTCCCATGGGGAGTCAACGAACTCTGGCACCTTACTCTGAGGCAGGACCAAGCCCTTCCTCCCCCTATATCAAGGCTGAGCAAGGTATTCCTTCAAAGAGAATGGGTTCCAAAAAGCCAGTTCAAGCACTACAGATAAATCCTGGTCCCACTGTCAGTGCCTACAGACTGTCTAAGCCACACAACTGCCACCAATATTCAGAGGGTCTAGTTTGGTCCTATGCAGGTTACCCAGATGTCAGTTCGGAGTCAGTGAGCTCCTTACTAGCTCAGGTCAGCTGTTTCTGTGGGTATCCCCAAACTGGTCTTGACACCTCTGCTCAAACCTGGCACCAGGGAAATTCCCTGGAATCCACAAGAATGACCCTAGCTAAGACCTGAAGCATTAGTGGAGAGGGTGCCTAAACTGGCTTTCCCCTGTAATCAGATTGATGACTACCTGAATTATCATCAATGAATCTCCATCTAGTAACTGATGGAAGCAGATGCTGAGATCCACAGCTAAGCACTGGGTGGAGCTCCCAGAGTCCAGTTGAAGAGTGGGAGAAGCGATAACACCCTCAGCTTTTGACAAAGTTCTCTTATAACAATTCTCTCATTTATACCTTTAGCAGAGATATGTTCACTAGATCATCTTGACTTAACAAGAGAGCCTGCTTCTGATCCTTGTCAAGGGGACAATGCCCCAAAATGTCAGATTTAGACATTTCTTTGAGAAGCACATGTCAGATCTTTCCTGGGTGGAGCACGGAGACTCAGGAACACTTCAAGTGCTATTGCAAGTGAATGCTGCAGATAACCTCACCATTCATTGGTGTTTTCCCTAAAGCCTTTTATGACTGAAAGAATGGATTGGATTTAGAGATATTCCCTCATCAAACCTATGATTTTACTGTACAGCCTTTGGGGTGCATCAAGGCCCCAAACGAAATCAAAATGGTTCCAATCTGGAAATAGTTTGAAGTAGCGGAGATTTGTAACTTGGGGAAGTATCCTGGCTACGTCTTGTGGTGTTATGAGGGCATCATGTCCACCAGCCCAAATGGCAGTGGGCACCTTCATGGCAGTCAGGTCATAGATGGGAGGACGACTCTGTGTGAGAGAGAACAAGCAATCATGAAAAGACACTGTATTAGCAGCATGTGAGCTTCAATGAAAGGTAAGCCTGCAAAGTGAGTATATGAGCATAACTCTGTTCGACAGTGAGAGAGGGGGAAATGTTCCCACACAATGAATGATTCCTGCCTTCAAGGAGTTTGTGAAAGAAATATGCAAGGAATGATAGCTAACGAGGCACTTGAATACAGACTTTTAAGGGGGTTGGGTTTTGACAGGTGTGGTGGTTTGGATAAGGATGACCCCCCTCCAATAAACTCTTATTTTTGAATCCTTGGTCACCAGTTGGTGGAGTTGTTTGGGAAGGATTAGGGAGTGTAGCAATGCTAGAGGAGATGTGTCACTGGGAGCAGGCTTTAAAAAGGTTTCAAAACCTAAACCATGTCCAGTACCACTTTTTGCATCATGGTTGTGTCTCAAAATGGAAGCTCTCAGTAACTGCTCCAGTGTCATGTCTGCCTGCCTGCCTGCCACCATGCTTCCCACCACAATGGTCACATACTCTAACCCCAGGAAACTGTGAGCCCCAAACTAAACCCTTTCTTTTATGAGTTGCCTTCATCATGGTGTTACAGTATTAGAAATGTAATGAAGACAACAGGTAACCATGTATGCTGGAAGGCCTCCCAGTGAAGGAATAGTGTGCAGACTATGACCAGGAGTAATAAACTTATGAATGGACCAAGCTAAGGAAGCCAGATCTCTTAGAAACTTTGAGGCAAAGCAGAGTCATTTCTCAGAGTCCTGAGTTAAGACAGATAAAGTCTGAATTGTGGGATGACTAGAGAAGGGATAAGTAGATGATTGGTATAGTGAGGACACAGGGTGTGGGTTCTCTAATTAAAGCTCTAGAGACAACTAAATTCTCCAAAGACTAGGGGGAACCTGTGGAGATTCTAAGGAGTATGTCATCGTTTAGGAGGATTGGGAAGATGAGTAATTAATAGAAGGGAAAAAGAGGGAAAACAACTAAACAGAGCATCGGACTATGAAAATGCAGGACAAGGGGAATTGTTCCAAACTCATAGAAAGATCTTCAGAATGTGAGAACAGAAAAGGAAATTGACTAATTAAAAGCCATGAATGACTTTAAGTCAGAAAAAGACCTCAAATAGATTTTTCCAAAGTTCAAGAAAGAAAGGGAGGGGGAAGTAAGGCTTTTTTACTTCTATATTAAAAGACATTGGAGAAACAGAAGGATGGGATGAGGATTTCATTGAATAAGAGTTCAAAGCAAGGCTTGTTTGCTTATGTTTATAAAGTACAGGGGTTCCTTAAAGCAATAAGAGCAGCTGGCACCAAAGCACTTTACAGATTTAAAGTAACCCCCTGTTTCTAAGTAGATAAAGAAATGTTTGAGACATCACAATTCCTGATTTCAAATTGTACTATAGAGTTATAATAATAAAACAAGGGCATGTTGACCAACTGAATACAACAAAATACCTGGAAACTAATGACACAGCTACCGAGATGTAAAAACCATGCACTGGAGAAAGAACAACCTTCCCAACAAATGGTGCTGGGAAAACTGGAGGGCCTCAGGTTTAAAACTGAAACAAGAACCCATCAGAGCTGCATATTTATTTTCCAGGATGCTAGTAAAGATTCTTGTGAAACAATTCCCATTATTGTGAACCCTTCCAATTTTTGGTTTAAAGAAACTTTTCACTAACATTGATTGTTTCTTACTGGAATTTGAAATAAAGAAGCAAGAATAACAGGTACATGAAGCTAATATACATGCTAAGAAAACTGAGGTAAAACAAAATATGAATATATTTAGCACCTCTGGAATGAGGGAATGCAAGCAATTTACTCTCATTTGTGTACACCCCGTTGGTTTCCCCAAAGTTTTCATGTTACAAGGTTCTGCAGACTAATAACTGAAAAACCTATCAATACAAATGTCAGAAACTAGCATATAGAATTTTTCTTACTCAAATAAGTTCTCATCAAAATTCCTCCAAACCCTCTTCTCAGGTCTCTGAGTATCTCACCTGGTTGTAGTGATTCATATTTTCTGCTTCACTTCCCCAGTCATAAGCTCTGAATTCATCAGATCGGTAAAGCTGAAATCAATGTTTTAGGGAAGATATTCAGGGTAAGAATCATGAGAGCCTCAGTGAATCTTAGAGAAATATCACATGGGGAGGAAAAAGGGCTCTATGTTCTCAGAAGGAAGCAAACTTCGTATCAATACAGAGAATGCTGTCCAACAGAGAGACTAAGATGGTTTTTCTTGTTTTGGAGAAGAAACTCATGGAAAAGTAAGCCCCATTAGAAAGCCAAATCCCACACACTTCTCTCTTGGAGGAAACGTCATCTCACTTCAGGGTACCCTTTACTGCAGCTGAGGGCACTTTTTACCAGTTCTAGTTTAAAATGGAATTCATTTGTGTCACATACTTGCTCTCTACCTTAAAACCTTTCTCCTCAAGTCCAGTCTCCTATCAAAATCTGGATAGACAACAAGTGCCAAGATGGAGACAGTTTGTAAGTGTCTAGAGACGAGCCTGTTGATAGGGGGAGTTATAACGTTTGGCATGAACTGAGACAAAGATGGGCCTGACTTTCCATGACAAAGATGTTACCTGTTTTATATGCAGGATGTTCTGTATTGATGATCCTGTGGGAGCATGTGACATGTATACATCCAGTCGGCTCTAGGAAGTTAAAAACAGTCATCCAAGGAAATGAACCATGTGTCTCAGAAAGACAGAACAATTAAGAGTTTGTAACAAATATGAACTTTGCTTTCAAAAAGACATCAAACCATCACTGAATATGTGTCTGTGTGAAACATCTGAATATGAGCAGACCTAGGTTGAGCTGGGCATGGGTTTTCTGAGGAAAAATAAATATGCACTAAGTCTAAATCCTGGTGCAGGGCAAAACAACCAGGTAAAGTGCTATGTGCAAGCATAAGGATTGTATACAGGTACAGGCATGCTATGTGCAAAGCATGTGCATACTGCCACAGATAGATCACAGATCCTGGGTTTCAGGTTTGCCTGTTGTTAGTTATCATCTTTAGGACTCTGGTTAAATTATGTAATTTGAGTTTTACCTTTTTATCTACAAAATAAATATATTAACTTAGTAGATGTGGCACTGGGTGGTAGGGATAGGAAGCAGAGGCAGGAGGATCATTATGAGTTCAAGGCCAATCTAGGTCACAGTGTGAGAGCGTCACCAAAAACCATACAAACAAATAAATAAATGCATTAAAAATCATGCTATCAACCTGCTAAGTTCCTGTGGAGAGATACATTCTACAAGAATAAAGGAGGAATCCTTCCAAAGTTTGCTTTACTCTTTCTGGAGATCATAGGGGCAAAATGATGCAGTTAAATAATAACCGTACCTGTACCTTAGATATTATGATTCATATAGAGAGAAGCTTTTGAACATCCTAACTCCTGAACAAGGAGTCCTTGATCAGTGGTTCCTCATGGGTATAGCCTTTGAAAACATAGGAATGAGATCCAATGGTGAACAGCTCTTTTGGAACTGTCTTCACTTGAACTGTCTGTATTCTTTGTAATTAGCAATTGCCACATTATCATTAGGATATATAGCAGGGGTAGCTATGCAACCACTCTACTAGACATTTCCATTCTGGGCTAGACTTCTCACATTAAGCAGTGAATTTTGTTTGAATCCAAAATTGTGAATTAATGGCTGCACCCATGTAGTAAGTGTATAACTTACTCAAACTTCTCCTTTCCTAGAATTTAAAATTTAGTTTAATTCACCAAAATGAAGTAAACTGAAATCGCATTAGTATCAGCAGCTTACAAGCATGTGGGAATATTCTTAGCACTCCTTAGGAAAGTGTTAAGTCTCCTAACTTTGACAGACAATGGAATGGAATCTTTTCTTCCCCTGTACTCATGTTCATGGTCTGTTGGGATATCTAATCCTTCATGAATATAAAATATCTGCCTTCAAGGACTTGCAACACCTATGACTTTATGTAGTATAATGAAATATGACATTTCTTTAAGCATCAAATGGCCACTTAGTTCTTATACATACCATATTCATATTTTTTTTGTTGAATCCAGCCCACAGGGACATAAACTCACTACACATTGGTCGGAGTATCTTTCTATTGCAGACTTTGATGTAAGTTGCCTTTGCCTTCTTATCTTCTAAAAAGAAACCTTTGGTACCAAATATATGCTGTGATATAATAAAATAAAATAAAATAAAATAAAATAAAAAATAAGTGTGTTTTTAAGATGTCTCCGTAAGTACCTTGATATTTGCTTAATTATATGAATGAACCAATTTTGGAAACTATATACATTTGCATTTATTTTCTGTAGTCAAGGAGACAAAGTCACTTAGAGGAGGGTAGTTATCTGTTTCCAAATGCAGAGGTCATAAATTGTAATAAGGAGTCTTTGTCCCCAAATTCACTTGTCCATGGTGGATCTCTCCTGTAATCTGTCTAATCATCGATTACCAAGTTTTTGTTCAGTGGTAAGAAAGAAGAAAGAGGATTTCACTTTAAGATAAACTCTTAGACTGAACTGGAAGGACATGTGGGTTTTATCTATATTTTTCATATGCACATTGGCTGTGTTTTACTGCCCTAAACTAACTATTCTTCATGATGAAAAGCAGAGAATGAAACACCTAAGAGAATTTGGTGCTGGCCATCAAATATATTATGATGTCACAAGGATAGCATGTTAAAACATTCAGGGCTTGTGAGTGTAAGCTTGGACAGATCTCCAGTGTAGTCCAGGATCTGCACAGAAAACCAGTAGTGAGGGAATCAGAGAGTTGGGTCTTAAAGAGGCAGGACCTTTGACAATAGGGAATGCATACAGATAAAACACAAACATTATTGGGCTCATATGTGATGTGTATAAGAAGAACAATGCATTTTATAAAACTGATGTTATTTATAGATGGATGAGTCTATTCCAAATGTCATTAACAAACACTTTACTAACTTGAGTGTGGTGATACAAGAATTAGAAACAGGAGAAGTGCTATAAATTCAATGACTGTCATATTAATTAAGTGTGAGCCTCAAAAGATCAACAAAAGAAAGAAAAGAAGGAAGGAAGGAAGGCAGATGGACAGGCAGATAAGAAACAAATTAATTCAATCAGCCCTGCCCAGATGTAGATGGTAGTCAAAACTAACTGATGACAACATATTTTGAAATAGTTGTTACATTTCCCTCGGTCAAAGTAAACAAGGCAGTGAAAATGGCATGTAACCAGTCATATGACCACAGGAAAATATCTTCCATGTTTGGAAGATGTATTTACTATTATTTCCTTTCTTTCATACAACTCTGTCCCAAAGCAGGGCCTCATCTTGTTTTATAAGAATTATTGTGATTGTTTAATTTGCTTTCTGGTTTCATTTTTGTTTTGTTTTGGTTTTTGGTTTTTCAAGACAGGGTTTTTCTGCATAGCTTTGGAGCCTATCCTGGCTCTTGCTCTGGAACTCAGGCTGGCCTCAAACTCACAGAGATCTACCTGCCTCTGCCTCCCAAGTGCTGGGATTAAAGGCATGAGCCACCAAAGCCTGGCCTGATTTCATTTTTGTACAGATTTATTTTTATAATCATTCCAAACTCAAATGACAATGTCAACAAACTATTAATTTTATCCTTCAAGATATGCTATTTGTGGCCATGACAACGAGAAACCTAGACCAACAGAAGATAAAACCCAAACAACTCTCAAGTAAATGGAATTCCAAAGCCACAATTATTAATTGAACAACTATTTTGCAGCTTAAAAACTAACAGTATTTAAATGTATACTTGAACTTGGAGTTATTTGTGGTGATATATTATTTATGATTTAATAAAGCTTGCCTCAGGTTCCAGGATACAAAGCCATCCACAAGCTATAGAGGTGAGGCGGTGGTGATATACACCTTTAATCCCAGCAGCCATACTAGTTAGCTATAGAAGCTAGCTAACACACCTTTAATCTTAAGACTCAGGATTAAGAGGTAGACAGATCTCTGTTAGTTCAAGGCCACAGTGACTACGTGTAATTGGTCCAGTCCTAAAAGAAACAGCTCACACAAAGGTGATCTCAGCACCTGGGATCACACACCTTTAATCCCAGCACTAGGGATGTGGAGACGGGAGGATATGGCTGGACAGAGAAAAGAATAAAAGTCAGGGGGAGACAGGATCTGAGAGCTTTTGCCTCTGAAGATTCGTGGGGACAGGATTGCCATTTCAGCTGGGTAGAAGTAAGATCTACTGGCTTGGTTGCTTTGCTTCTCTGATCTTCAGCTTGAAGCTTGAATCCGAGTATTAGTCTCTGGGTCTTCTATTATTTCATGCTACAGATATTGAAGTACTGGGATAAAACTGGGTTCTTTAATGATCAGTGTAAGCTCTCACATGGAAAAATATATGTTAGTAAAGGTTTTCTAATGTCAAACTAAGACATTCTTAATCATACGTGATTTGAAGAATATCTTCCAATTGGACATTGTGAACTCACTGACCCACCCAACTAAACAGAACAGGAAAATGTATGAATAGATAATAAACTGGTGTCGAACCCAGCTCGGCTGAAAGTCTATGCATGCCTCTCTGTAAGTGACTGAATTTAGTTAATTGTATACGGTACCTACAGACACCAGGGACACAGGCATACACACACGCCCACACACACACACACACACACACACACACACACACACACACACACACACACACACACACACACAGGTACATACTCATGGACTCTGATTTCTATGGATTTTGCCTAAAGTTCCTACTTCTATTTCATACAGATTTAAAAATAATACGGATCTATGATACAAGATGAGATCCTGAGATAAATTTTGGCAAAACAAGGAGCCTACCTTGATTATGGAATTTGGAAGTAGGAAAAAACTGGTAAAAATGCTTGTGGGATATTTGAATGAGATCACAGGACCCATGGCAAAATTCATTTTGATTCTTTGTGCCAGTTCAGGCATGGTGGAAAAGGCTATAAACCCTGGGAGAATAGGAGACAAGACAATCTTGTAAAAATTCCATATACTCATGCAAAATTTTATCAATGGGAATGAGTGAGATTCTGTGTTGCTGTACTTTATCTTCCTACAGCAGTGATCTTGGAGAGAAGCTGGAACAATTCTCTGAGTTGTTCTGCCTAGATAATATGACAGAAGGTCTGGCTAGTCCATAACTTTTTCTAATACTATTGCTAGACCACTTAACTCATTTAGGAAAAATAGTAGTAGTTGGTGGGTAAGGGGTAATCTGGTGAAACAGCTACTGCTTGGTCAACTATAGAAACTTCATTTCCTAAGCATCTAAGCCCGTTGGTCACGCACAATTTTAAGTTGTTCAGTGAGTCACAGAGATTCTGGAATTAAATAGTCAGTTCACAAGACAGAAATGAAGCTGTTCTTTCTGCAGCTATTCTGCAAGCTGCCTTTCCTGTTACAGAGTAAGATTTGATTGTCATTGTCTTTGGTGTCTTGCTGGATGTTCACACTCCACCCCCACACTTTCCAGCTTCCCAGAGTGAAGATGTTTCCCTTGGATACACAGTGATATCAGTAAGACCTCTGTATCTCCATTTGCTCTGCTTTTTTTCAGCAGTGACATGACACCATGCATATCCCTGTGAGGATAAGGGTAAGGATCAGTACTGCACCCATGGAAGTTACAGGGGTTATCTGGGCAATTTACTTTCCCAAGATGCATTGCTATGTCCCTGCTGGAGATACACTCACAAACACACATAGAAATACTTGCTGAAATGTTAACACTGTTTGTGTCATTGAAATTACCTGAGCAACTGACACTGTGCCAGGTAGACAATTCGTATTCGGAGCATGTTTGGAAATGTGTGGAGGTTAGTTCTTTTTTTGTACCACTGGCAATGCACTTTATGGTGGTCAGACATTTAGGTACTAGGGTCAGGGATAATAAACAACCTCCAAATGGATCCTTCCCTTATTTTAAAAAATTCTACCCTAAATGCAAGAAGCATTTAATGAAACATGCTCATGCCCACATGCAACAAGGCATGATTGTCTCATTTGCAGCTCAGTAAGGGTAAGTCCTGTTCACATACTGAGTTGCAAGTCAAGTCCTTTGCCATTGCTTCTGATCCCATTGGTGGGCTCCAACCAACTTGCTCTGAATTTATGTTCTGTATCAGTGGGATTGTTTGGGAGATGAGGGGAGGAAAAATACTGAACACAGATCCCTAAACATAGCAAATGCTCAGGAAGTACTAGATAGAATTATACAATGGTCCAGCTTCATTTGGGTTCTCTTATTGGCATGCTGATAATTTTTTGATCTGTGTTCTCCTCTGCCCACTTCCTCTCCCAGGCTTGTGAAGGGCTATCAGCATGAAGAACTAAGCAGCATCTCTTTTTTGGTGATCAATAGTAATGGCAGCAATGGATATACTTACGCAGTTTGGAAATATTATGAGATTTATTGTTTCTTGCAGTTTTACCCAACCTAAAATGTCACAGCTTCTCATGACTAATTCTCCTAACATTGGAAATTTCAATGGAAGATCAGTAACAAATCCAAATCTATGTCAATATCATTTTCTTTTAACTTTTATTTGGAAAAAACAACACTTGATGATTTTTTCAAAATGTCTGGGTAAAGCTTAGGGTGGGTGTGTGGCTCAGTGGTAGGGCCCTTGCCTATAATGTCTGAGTCCATGAGTTCTAGTCCCAGTGTTGCAGAAAAAATATAACCAAGTGTCAAGAAATCATAATATTGCATTTAAAAATAGAGAGTAAGTTACATAAATAGATATGGCTAGTTGATTTATTAGAGTAAGTTTTTGTGTTTCAACTCACAAACAAATGTGACCAAGTAGTTTCCATTTGTACAAATTACAGTTGAGTCCTCACTTTTCATTTATTTAGACTGTCTCTGAGTGTGAGACAGCTGGGACTCATGTGGATTGTGCTGTTTGCCCATCTGTTGATTTGCCTTGTTGCTTTAAGCTTTGTCTTTCCAGCATAAAGGGGGGGCATCTAGAAACTTTATCTTTAGAATTACTTCTCTGGAGTTTGGTCACAAACTATTTCTTGAGACTTATGTCACCGTAACAGTTGTGTGTGCGGCTGTGATCCCCAAATGAGGGAAAGATTGGGTAGGCTCTTCATAGTCATAGCTTCTGGACTACAGTTTCACAGATATACAGAGTAGGAGGGTTACTCTCAGCACAGGACAGAGAATGAAGGGCAATATAAATGGCAGGTGATTACTTAGTTCCAACAGAGTTGTGACATTAGCCCTTGTAAACATACCTATTGTAGTGCCGAGTGAATGTCCAATGAAGTACAACTTCTCTTGACCTGTTTTATTGACAATGAAGTCTATTATCCCCGGGAGGTCATATTTGGCCATTTCATCAAAGCTGTAAATGAAACAACATATAAATATAGTTTTAAAACTCAGGCACTTGGTTGATTCTTTTTCACATAGGAAATCTGTGCCACCTACTTACTTGGTGTGTATATAATTATTCACTCAGTTAAATGGATACTATTACAACATTTTTTTTTGCATTTTTTTCTGCTTATTTTCTGATAGCAGGAATGACCAGGGGAGTAACATATACTCTCTCAAGTTCTTCATTCTCATTCCTTATATTCCTCTTTGTTCCCCTTTCTTGCTTTCATTCTCTTTTTTTGCTTCTGATTTCCCTATGGTATTTATGACTGTTATTCAATATCCATCACTGTTGTCATTTATGATTCTATCATTCGCTAACTGAGCAACATTAGAGAAGTTATTTACATGTTATGATCATAAGTATGCCCACTTGGAAAATGAGCCAGGAGTTACTGCTTTATAGGACTGTTATAGGTCTTGGTTTGTATGGAAGAAATGACTTGCCTGTTAGTAGGTACTTTATCTGATATTGTTATTGTTAATACACACACACGTTAAATATCCTATAATAGCAATATTAAAATCTTATGTTCATCTAGCATCTGTAGAAGAGATCAAAAAGGATGATATATTCAGTAGGATCAAGTACCCCATGAGCTTGTAAAAAGTGTACATGAGGGAACCAATAAATTGGTACAACCAAATTTGAGAGAATTGTTGTGGTACCTCACAGAGAAACACTTCCAAGCTTTCTGCCAAAGATTAGAGATATAAAATGTTTCCTAAATTTTGCCCCTTCACACAGCTTTAGTCCAAAAAATGTATTCCTTTCCTTTTCTCCTCCAATCCTGTTCATGGAGAAATGACTATGAATTGGTACAAAAATGATGTGTTCTCTATTCTAACAGCAGGATGTAAGTCAACTTGGTACTTAGGTCCTTTGGAAGGGAAGGGAAGTCTATGGGGGACAACCCTGTCCTCTAGTGACAGCAGAAATTGTCAAAATACCAAAAAACTTTTTATTAACTGTTCATTAACATTTTAAAATGTCATATTGGAGTTTTTTCTAAAACAGTATGCTATATAATCCCTTCTGTGGGTCTCTCTCCTTTTTTTCTTGTTGCTGTTATTTATTTGTTATTTGAGGTACAGTCATGTTGTTTTCACAAGGACTGAACTATGGCTGGTCTGGAATTCACAGTATAGCCCAGGCTAGCATTTAACTCCTGGAAATCCTCTTGTTTTCCCAGTACCGGCATTACAAGTATAAGCCACCATACCTGGCACTGTGGAATATAATCTCAGCTACAGTTTCTTTAAATGAATGTAACATGACTTGATGGATTTTAATGATTCCTTCATGGAAGGCCTCACCCTCCCTGGGGAGTGAATGGGAGATGAGATGGGGGCTTGTTGGGGGGTATGGGAGTATTGGAGGGAGAGGAAACTGGGATTGATATGTAAAATAAGA